ATTCCAGTTGGAGACTTTCTACAAGGAGCACATTCATGAGTACGACGAGATTCGATATGTGCAAGACGGGAGTGGCTATTTCGACATACGGGACAATAATGATCAGTGGATACGGGTGGAGGTAACCAAGGGTGACATGCTTATAGAGCCTGCAGGCCTCTACCACCGATTCAGCATGGATTCCAAGGTATGGTGACATGCGTCTAAACAGTGGAACAATAGCTGCTCAATAGGCTATAGGCAATAGAGGAATAGGCTAATACACGCGCGGCTATGGCCGGTGAAACGAAACGTCACGAATTCTATTTTTATCCTCCAATCACAGGTCGGAGCAATTTCTCTGTTTAGACGCATGTGTATGGTGAAGCGTATTTGACCATCGGCGCCGCGCGGCTTGCATGATAGCCTATATAACTTATTACCTTCAGACCAGACCAGTGATAGCTGGCCTCAGATGCAGTCGTTCTAACCAAGGGTTTTATGGACCCATTCTTACTGCGTACCAAACTGCGAATTTCACTTGAAATTGTGCTTCTATCGTGATATGTTTTAACATAACTTGTAATAACTGGTGTAAATATTTCCATGCGTGTATAGCAACCGTCAGCGCCTTACTATTAGCGTACGAAAAAATAACTTCGCGTGTCTAATATGCTTTTTCTTTTTCCTATTCTTCTTTTTCTTTCTTCTTCTTTTTCTTCTGCTTCGTCTTCTTCTTCTTCTTCTTCTTCTTCTTCTTCTTCTTCTTCTTCTTCTTCTTCTTCTTCGTTTTCTTGTTCTTTTTCTTCTTCGTTTTCTTCTTCTTCTTCTTCTTCTTTTTCGTCGTCTTCTTCTTCTATTTCTTCGTTTTCTTCTTCTTTTTTTTCTTTTTTCTTTTTGTTTTTCTTCCTCTTCCTCTTCTTCTTCTTCTTTTTCTTCTTCTTCATTTCTTCCTCTTCTTCTTGTTTTTCTTTTTCTTCCTCCTCTTCTTCTTCTTCTTTTTCTTTTGTTCATCTTCTTCTTGTTTTTCTTTGTGTTACTCTTCTTCTACTTCTTCTTCTTCTTCTTCTTCTTCTTCGTTTTCTTCTTCTTCTTCTTCTTCTTCTTTTTTTCTTCTCTGTCTATGCCGCGATACGTACCTCTAACACATAATCGCCCTGCGTGGTAATACGTTATGCTGAATGACGCTGAACGTAGTCACGGTTAGACTTAATTTCTTATCGGCGAGAATGAACATTATTTTTAAAATCGCATCCGAATCCTTAGAATCGACGACTGCATACATTAAAATTGCCCTTGCTATTACAGTCTATAACAGCTATAACATGCGTGCTAACATAGCGCATTTGATTCTAGCCGTACATAAAGCGATAGGTATTTCCACCTTGATTTTAGGACTACATAAAGGCAGGTCGTTTTTTCACCGGAGTGCCTGTGTGGACGCCACTCTATAGACCTGAAGCAGAAACGCACCCTACACGTGTGGCCTACCTGAAATCTCAGCAGAAGCAAGCATAATTCATTTTGTTGTTCGTACACTTTGATAGATCACCGACGGAAGGGTCTATAGAAAATTTTTTTATTCATTTCGTTTTAATAGGTAGGGAAATCTCTCCGGAAACGTGCATTTATTTTGTTCAAAATGGCGTAGGCGTTCGTATGCGACAATGCAAC